CTAACCGCTGAGTGTGTTACTAACCGCTGAGTGTGTGACTAACCGCTGAGTTTGTGACTAACCGCTGAGTGTGTGACTAACCGCTGAGTTTGTGACTAACTGCTGAGTGTGTTACTAACCGCTGAGTGTGTTACAAACTGCTGAGTGTGTGACTAACTTCTGAGTGTGTCACTCACTGCTGAGTGTGTGACTAACCGCTGAGTGTGTGACTAACTGCTGAGTGTGTTACTAACTGCTGAGTGTGTTATTAACCGCTGAGTGTGTGACTAACTGCTGAGTGTGTTACTAACTGCTGAGTGTGTTACTAACCGCTGAGTTTGTGACTAACCACTGAGTGTGTGACTAACCGCTGAGTTTGTGACTAACCGCTGAGTGTGTTACTAACCGCTGAGTGTGTTACTAACTGCTGAGTGTGTGACTAACTGCTGAGTGTGTGACTAACTGCTGAGTGTGGTGTGCACACTTTGTGAGGAATTGAAGACCTGAACTAAATCTAAGTTTCAAAAAGAAATGCAGAGGAAACATAATGAATAACCTCTTTGTAATGTAAACAGATATATCTAAAACCAAAGTTGAGTTTACCTAATGTTTAAACTTTAACTTTGGGTTAAGATATTCTTATATCACACAGATGTTTTTTTTCTACCACACTTTCCGTTTGTTAAATAATACAAGATATTGTGATCTGGATACATAGTGTCATTATAAATGACCATGAGAGTCAAAATTGATGACTTTTCCCAATAGTGACATGCTTATACTACCTAAAGACACAAACACTGTTGTGTAAGCTGTCCTATCCCAAAGGAAATTCGGATTGATCTTTCCCAAACAAAATAGGAAAGCACCTGTAAGGTATGTCAATGAAGGCAAACACTTATAATGTCAGGGAAAAATCAATGTCTGTAAAATGTTTTGATAGGTGAGAGTCTGTCTTTAGAGAACTCAGAGGGTTTTTAAATATTTGGATCTTTATTGAAATGCGTAATTCCACAAACCATCTCCCACAACAAAAACTGATTATAAATCATACGACAAAAAATATTCCATCGAAAATAACTAGATTCACATATGGAAATGATCACTGCAGTAAAACAGTTCAAGGAAAGACCTTTTGGATTTGTTTTTAGTATTCAAATCTAAATAAAAGTTGCCCTTTTCCTCTAACAACAAATTAGGTGTAACATAAAAGTGAACCAAGACATATAAAAAAAAATTGACATCTGTTGGCATTCTCAAAACCAATAACGCTACGTATATATAGATTCTGGGTAATGATGACATCTAGAATGGCAACATAGCAAGGTAATTTCTGTCCTTTAGCCTACAGGGATGATATACGATAACATTCTACAGCTATAAATAGGTCGAAGACATCCATCAGAATGTACCGCTAGATATCTTCATTACAAACACAATAATAAGATGCTAAAATTGGACTTCAATTCTATTTCTGAAATTGTTATTTTGAAATGAGAATAATAAACATGTAACAGTCATATGAGTTATCAATCAATATGATATTCTCTGATTTTGATAAATCTTTACCTGAGATTTACGAGGAAGACATGGAACTACACATAACAAGGAGAGTTAACATTGAAAACATGAGGAATCTATTACAGGACCCAACCTGACCCGAAACCAGTCTTGATAGAACCTTAACTACACCACTGGTAATCAAATCCTGCTTAATATCACTAACATTAATTCTCATGTAATTCTGCCAGCTTCATCAGTCCACAGGGCAGCCCTGGTTGTCCACGTGGAACGGTCAGTGCCCCAAAAGACTGATGACAAATGCAACCATCACAAAATAGAAATGATTAATTTGGCATCACAAGCAGATACAGGATATCAGATTTGTCATGTTGGCCTGTTTTAGAAGATTTCTTCCGTTAAAGCACACTTCCAAAATTAATTCTAGATGATAAACAAACTTGGTGATCACCTATTCCATCTTTTTCACGGATAGCTTTATCAGCATTTTCATAGATCTGTTTAAAGGCTAGACACTCAAAATTAAGGTAGGTTTAAATTAAGGGAATTAAACTTTATTTTTAATCCATAGACCATTCAAAACTGATTGAACATTTTCTGGACTATAGTAATAATGCATTCCCCTGTTCATCAGACCAAAGTTAGTATATTTATACCCATCCACCCAAATAAGAGCTTACATATGTCAATATATGTTAAAAAGTTTCCTTGACATGATACTATGCAAAAGAGCCTGTGCATTATACCCGAGTGCGCACTATACCTGCAAATTTACGGTATTTAAAATTGGGTTGTGCAATTTGCCACATGTTGCACTATTGGCAGTATGCTGAGATATTGATCACTAAGATCATTGGGTTCAGAATTCACACACAAATTAACAAGCTCTCTTTAAATCCTTGTTGACTTTTACCTTCGTTGCTGAAACTGTACACATAGTTATTAGGTGCATCCAAATTTCCCTCTAGAAAAACTTAAGTGGTACTACACTATACAGTCAACCCTACCTTAATGGACTCCGAGTATAATACAAAGTCTTTATAGACAGGGCATATATTTACACTGAAAATAATGTTTTAAGGTACATCTTGATACTCAGAATAAATATACAGATCTTCAGGTTGCCAGCATAAAAACTGCAAATCACTAGTTCATTCTCCTTGTTATATCACTGCATGTCCCTCCCTGACCCCACCTCCCCCAGTTCATTCTCCTTGTTACATCACTGCATGTCCCTCCCTGACCCCACCTCCCCCAGTTCATTCTCCTTGTTATATCACTGCATGTCCCTCCCTGACCCCACCTCCCCCAGTTCATTCTCCTTGTTATATCACTGCATGTCCCTCCCTGACCCCACCTCCCCGAGTTCATTCTCCTTGTTATATCACTGCATGTCCCTCCCTGACCCCACCTCCCCCAGTTCATTCTCCTTGTTATATCACTGCATGTCCCTCCCTGACCCCACCTCCCCGAGTTCATTCTCCTTGTTACATCACTGTTACCGTTTTGTCTGTCATGATCTGGTGTCTTTGCATTCTTAATATCAAATTCATAATTTTTCTACTTACTTTTGCTTGTACTTTTAACAGATAAGTTCAATTTCTAAGGAAAAATTTAGATTAAAAATAAGAACAAACCTACAATATATTAGTTTAACAAGAAAATATGCTATTGCCAAAGTGCGAGCCAATTTCCAGCCACATATATTTTTGAGGAGTTTTATACTACTGAAACATACAAGATTAGACCATCACAATGTATATTGTGAGAACAACACACACCTATAAAGGGTCATTGTATGTAGCATATGTATTTACTTTGTAGTAGAAGCAAAACTATCTATAGTTGATAGATACCTTTTCAAGAGAGATTGCAACTCCCTGTTAAGTCAGAGGGACAGTGATTGTTATGTAAAGTCAAAGACTGATGAAAGCTGTACAAAGCTAATCCAGCCTTTTATCACTATAAAGGACGACAAGGTCCTTGTAGATCTAAATCTAGACATCAGACTGTACAAAGTCTGCTGGTTTCAAAATTTTGATATTCATCTGGCATGTCTTAAATTGGGATAATAGAAAGCAGCAACACACTGCAATACTATTCATGAGCTTGAATTTCATCCTTATCAGATTTATACTTCTCTCTATTCCTGTAACAGATTGTGCCTCTGAAGGACACACATGTTACCAATCATATGTTTAACAATTGTAATTAAATGTGCACATTGGAATGTACCTTTTTGATGTCCAAAAAAAAATAAACATTTATCTTTCTGTAATAATTATAGCACTTCCCATCACAATTACATTTACACATACTTTTCCTTTCTCATATAATACTTTTCTTTCATTATAGAAAATTACAAATATTTATCAACATGCCATGTTTTAAATCTATATAACTGTGGGGAAGTTACATACACTCTAGCAAACAATAGGCCTCATAAAGAATCGTGCAACATGTCTTTGAGATACTGTTTTGACCGATTACCATACTCAAAAACTAGGGGAAAAAAAAAAGAAAAAAACTTAATCTCGGAGTAAATATTAAATGAAAACCAAATAAGCTTTCATCACAAGTCTTTTGCTCAATTTTGGAATAAGTACCATTTTTCACGAAACTTTGTCCATAAAATAAAAATTATAAAAATTACTTTCAGCAATTAACATGCCACTGACTCTGTCCAGACAGCTAAAACAATATAGGCACACATTATCAAAGGTTTAGCGGTATGATGCTATTTAATTCATTATTTGATCTCTACTGTATCAATTTCTAATTTTTGTGTCTTTTGAACAATTTTCTACCCCACAATGACATTTGATATTACAATACATAACATCTTTTCAAATCAGCTGATTTTTTTTTCAAAATTATTCCCAAAAGTGATTAAAACTTCATTATATGAGATAAATTTTCAAATCAGCTGACTTCTTTTCCCCAAATTATTACCAAAAGTGATTTAAACTTAATTTTATGAGATAAATTTTCAAATCAGCTCATTTTTATTCTTCAAATTTATTACCAAAAGTGATATAAACTTAAAATTACAGAAACAGCTGTGTTTATATATATATATATATATATATATTTAAGACAACATTACTGTTACCTCGAAACCTTTATTGAATCAACAGAAATGTCCACTTCACTACACTGAGTTACTGGGGTGGGATGGCGAGATACCGCCATAATAACAAGCTTGTTCCCCCCTCCTCCCCATGTGTCTATCAATCGGATAGCTATAGGCCTATATCTGTTTAGTACACAGCACACAATAATTGGGGTATTGATTTCGACATTGCCATATTGTAATGTACTATAGACATTTTCTTTCACAGATTTGTGTGTCATTTATATCTGCATAACAGCTGCTGTCTTAACCCTTTACAAATTTTTTATCTGCAGAATTTTGTCCAACTAATTTTTTTTTTTCGCAGATTACGTTACAATGTAGATACATCAAGCTTAGAGTGTTTGTTTGTATGTTACAGACCTATATAGACAGACAACTGACGGTCATCTGCCAATCTGGTTTGCTCTGTCCTCGGTAGCCATGAACACACCGTCTCTGAGCCAGAAAATTCCTGAAGATTAATTGGAAGAGCTGGTTTGCAGTTGATGCCAAAACCTTGTGATGTCCTGTGGATTAAGCTGTCAGTGACTTGGCCACCTATTTGACAGATATCAATACAGACAGTATCATATTGTCATTCCACATTCATCCGCCCATCAATAAATGGATTTTGTTCTGTGATTTCTACACCAATTTTTTCCAGTCAAATAATTTTTATTCAAATGTCAACACACCTGATCGGGGACAGTCAAAGGCTAACACTTGAAAGTGTTACTTTTCACCTCGACTGTTGATACGTAAAGGGTTTATATCTACAGAAAATCCATGCTTCTTTAATAAGTGATCAGTCCTTGTCTGGACTCATTGGTGAAGACAATTCCATGGATGTTCCTATATTATACAACTTCACAAAAACCACAATGAACAACCTTGCAGATACCAATACAACTAATCTGACAGATGTTGGGCCTGTTGGTCCCTCCCAGACAGCTCTTCACATTGGAGGTATAATAATGCTCCTAGCTCTTCTCTCAGGACTGTTTGGGAACTTTTTAGTCATGATCATAATATTCACCAAGCGAGATCTTAGCAACATAATCAACATTTTCATCATCAGTCTTTGCATCAATGACATCATCAACCTCGGGTTAAACAACAACATGGTTCTCCTTTCCTACTTCTTAGGAAAGTTTCCTACAGGAATGCTGGGTTGTGAACTAGCCACCCATTTCAGTGTGTTACTAATGGGATCATCTCTTTGGCATACTGGACTCATTGCCATTCATCGTCTCATTGTAGTGGTGTTCAACAATTTTTACAAAATCATTTCCAAAAAAGCCTATACGATATTTGTGCTGGTGTTTGCTCGTGTTGTACCGCTACTGTTTCTCTGTCAACCATCACTAGGCAACATGGCCTATTATGAGCCGAAACTTCTCCGATGCATCGTCAAGAAAAATTATGGACCATTCACACTGCTGGTTAGTGTGTTTCTGATGATGCTCCCATCTGTCATTCTTATCGTTTGTTATATTGCTATTTTCATCAAAGTTCATCAGTCTTCAAGAGCATCAAGAGTGTCACGGCAACGTGAATGGCTCAAACGGGAAATCAAAATCACCAAAATGTTTGGAATGGTGTTCCTACTTATCCTGATTGGTTATCTCCCTTATGGTATCGTGAGAGCTATGGATAAGCGTTTAGAATGGCATGCAGACTTTTATGTGGCAATTACAGTGTTCTTTGCCATTGCAAACAGCAGTAATCCCATAGTGTATGGAATAATGGATAAACAAATACGACAACAATGTCTTCAGGCATTGCACATCAAAACGTCAAAGGAGGATTCTAAAAATGGTAACATCACATCAAGTTCACGGATGTCCCATAATGGTTACAAGGATAAAGAGGAGGTAAATGAGGTTGTCCCCCTCAACAACTCAAAGACAGATGTTGTCCCACTCAACAACTCAAAGCCAGAGGTTATCCCCCTCAACAACACAAAGACAGATTCAGAAAAGGAGGTGAAGTCCTAGACAACACTTTTGGAATTATTTCTCTCTATATATACAAAAGAAAATTAATTTCCTGATAATTTCCTTATCCAAATCAAGTTCATATGTCCAATATGATTGTTGCCATTTATCATAGCACTGCCTTGGTACATTTGTTTTTATGGTTACCTTGTTCCTACAAGAACTTCATGCCTCAGTGATTCCCAGGTCATCATGTTTTGTTATCCTCAGTATTTCAATGTCCATGGTAACAAATTTTATCATTATGCCTTCGTGACATGTGTTCCTATAGTAAAAATACATTGATGACATTTTAAAGAATGTTGCCTCGGTAAGACTTGTTTCCATGGTTACTATGTTTTGAAATGTTGCCATGCACATGTATAATCAAATTTAAGAACACCCAAATAACTCTGCTTTATTAAAGTCAGTTTCCATGGTAATCATATTCATCCAATGACTACTAGTGTTTCTAAAGTAACCAAACTTACTGACACCTAAAAATAGCATTTCTTTTGTAAAGTGTGCTTATGTACTCTGACCAAACTTTTTATTTACTTATTAATAAATGAACTAATTAATGCATTTTACTCAGTAAAATGCAGTTCTTTGTTTGGGAACTTTGTGTGATGTCATTCTTGAAGACAATATTTGTTCTACAAAACACATTTCCAAAATAACCTTCTTAGTTTATCCTCGAAAAACATAGCTTCAATCAAATAAATACATTTCCATGGTAACAATGTTTGATAATCCTTTCAGACCAATGCCTTGGTTAAATTTATTTTTTCTTGTTGTATTAACCATTACTCTTTGGAAAATTCAATGACAATCAAAAACTAGTTTAACCCTTTAAAAAATAAAATGAACAACTTTTTTCTAATAAATGCTAAAACTATTCTAAAATTTGTTCTTTGAAATTTCTCAGTTCAGTGAATGCTGTAGAAGCCTGCATTTATGCTGAATCACAAAGACAACAAATACAATAAAACAAAGAACTTATAAAATGTTACAATGTATGGCCATTGTTAAATTTTACTCATTCAACTGTCTTTAAACACGAAGAAATAGTCCCGAACAAATAAATAATGGATCTTTATTCAATAAACCAAAAATAATATTGATTTTTGTATGGATAATTAAACCAACTTTTAATTTTGATCGCAACAAAATGTTTTGTACAGGGATTAAACTATCAATTTTCTTGAATTATATCACCAGCGTGGAAATATTTATTAATGGATTAAGATTTTAAAACTGCCTGAATAATATCAAATAATGCCTGACAAGAATTTGTCTGCATGGACTTAAGTTTCATTTCTATTTTCAGGGATCCATTCCGGACAAAAAATGCATGGAGCACATTAAAAATATTTTCTAACAATTTCTAAAAATTTGAAATTCACAATCAAAAGACAACCTAAATTAAAGCTTGTAAACTTGACAAGACAGAATGAAATGACACGTCAGGCTTTAATTAGGATCTGTGATCAAGCTTTCTCCTTGTGACAGATATCAAAACCATTATCGTCTTTGGCTGATGAATAGAAGTTATCAACCTGAAGACTGCGATAAGATGACCAATGTGAAGCAGAACTGAATAATTTCACATAAATTTTACACAAAAAATAAAGACAATTAACATTTCTGATTTTATTTAACATCATCAACAGGAGAACTGCATGATTTTACAAAGATGAATTACAGTATCACAAAATAATTAATTGCAGACACAAAATGGACTCTTTCAATCACATATGCAAATTTAGACCAATGAGAGGAAAAATTAATATCTAATGAAAGATAAACAAGAAATGTTGTATTTTCTATCAATAATATGACAGAAAGCATGAAAAGAAAGTCGGTGGCATTTCAAAGCAAGAATTTATATGTATTTATTACCTTGAAATGAAACAAGGGAGATAAATGTCATTGGTGGATAAAGCAGATAAAATCAGGAAAGCCAGATAAATGTCATTGGTGGATAAAGCAGATAAAATCAGGAAAGCCTGATAAATGCCATTGGTGGATAAAGCAGATAAAATCAGGAAAGCCTGATAAATGTCATTGGTGGATAAAGCAGATAAAATCAGCAAAGCCTGATAAATGTCATTGGTGGATAAAGCAGATAAAATCAGGAAAGCCAGATAAATGTCATTGGTGGATAAAGCAGGTAAAAATCAGGAAAGCCTGATAAATGCCATTGGTGGATAAAGCAGATAAAATTAGGAAAGCCTGATCAAACACCATGCTACTACTCCTTAGTAGTTACAACATATATTTCCTGAAGTTAAAAATTGAAACATGATGTAAATTATCATGACACTTAACAAGCACGACTAACTCCCTAGTACAATATCCTATTCAGTAAAGTATCTGTCTTCACAATATGGTCAGAATTTCACAAGGGATATATTTTGCTTTGTATGATGTCACCATCAAAGTGCTTTGCATGAGCTTTTGGTAATACCAAAGAGCTATGCAATTAACAATATCTAAATGAATGTCATATTTGCCCTTTTATGTTACATTCCCATCCCTAAAGTGTCCCACCACAACTGTAAAATCTTTAAAAAAATTATTTCTTGTTTTTTTCCACAAAGAAAGGTCATCATTTACATCAACACGTAACACTTTCACTCCACCAGGTCCCTAGAATTCCGGTGTGCCCTGTAAAATGCCAATCATGCGCTATATAAATCAACCAGTCTGAACAATATAAAGAAGATTCAAAACCAATAAAGGAACTTAATGATTTTTGAACCAAATGTAGCAGCATAATTCACAATTCTGTTTTATTTTTTAACAATTTTGTCTTGTGAGTGAGAAAAAATCTCTCCCTATCCCCACCAGTTCAGACAACTGTTACATCATTATTTCTACATGCCAGGAATGGAAATCTGAAACCTCAGAGCCAAGAATCTGAGGAATCAAATGTCTGAAGAAAAAGAAATAATTGTGTAGCTTTAAATCAAATTTCATCAGACACTCTTAATAATTACCAATAAAATTTCATTTAAAATAAAAAAAAGAAGCTGACTCTCTTTTTGCCTGAGATTGTCTCAAACATAATTGGGTGAAAAATTGCGTCATTAAAGTGGCAACATTACAGAATCCACGTGTACATTCTCTCATTTCTCTTAAGACTGATGGCCACAGACCAGTTTTCTGAAGTTAATATATCTCTCTTACACCATCACTCATTTCAGGTTGATGGTCTGAAGTGGTCTGATATTGTTAAATCAGGCTTATTTTCCCTAATCTCCATTCTTTTTTACTTGTCCCCTTCCCTCCCTCCCTTTCTCACATTAAAATCCTTTTCCCTGCACTCCTTTCATGTTAAAACCCAAAACTCCTCAATCCCTTTTCCACTTACATATTCTTGCTCCTTCTTCTTTATTTGACAACACTATCAGGGTCCAACTCCTTTTCCTAAATTCTTCCATCCTTCTCCATTTCTATCAATATATCTCTAGATCCCTGTTAATTTTCCATCAATATATCTCTAGATCCCTGTTAATTTTCTATCAATATATCTCTAGATCCCTGTTAATTTTCCATCAATATATCTCTAGATCCCTGTTAATTTTCTATCAATATATCTCTAGATCCCTGTTAATTTTCTATCAATATATCTCTAGATCCCTGTTAATTTTCCTTCAATATATCTCTAGATCCCTGTTAATTTTCTATCAATATATCTCTAGATCCCTGTTAATTTTCTATCAATATATCTCTAGATCCCTGTTAATTTTTTTATATCCTTGCATCATCTTCTTTTTTCCTTTCTGTCTCTGTCTCTCTCTCTCCAGTTTCCATATTCTTGCTGTCCTCTTTCTGCATTCGCCCCTCTTCTATTTTCTGCCTCCTTTTGCTTTAAACAAATGAACTTTCCCTTATCATCTTCTTTCTATCCCTTCTTTCTCAACCCTTCTTCTGTCATCTATCCTTTTCCTCCTTCCAACATTATTTCTGTCCTGCTTCCCTTTATTCCTCCTCCAGTAACTACTTCTTTTCCCATCTTTCTCTCTTATTTTTCCTCCTATCTCTTCCTGTCCATTTCCTCTTTAACAATCCTTTCCACTAAGCTTTCTCTTCTTTTTCTCTTCAGCTTATAACTCTTTCTTTCCATTTTTGTTTAACCTTTCCTTTCTCTTTTCTAGCATCCTTTAATTCTCCTTTTTCTTTTCCTTCTTTTCCCTCCTTCCATTTCAAGTCATAAAATGAACCAGTATAAAATTACTAAATCAGTATTCATCCTGAACAAGCACTTGAATTACTATCAGTAGAACACCATATATGGTAATGCTTCAATTACCAACAGCTGAAGCTCAAATAAGTTAGTTCTTCAATTAGTAAAAGAATAATTACATTTCATCATCTGTGCAAAGTTGATCCTACTTCTTGACATGAGTGGTCAATTTCCAGTCCACCATGACATACATCTATATATCATACTTAGAAATGGACACTTGAATTGGTTACTGGCAGTTCTGGACTGACCAATTACGGCCGTAATTTACTCCACAAACAGCATGGTTGACACATCTATACTGAAACCACACCACAGTTTTGCTGCCAACACACTTGGGATTCTTCATGAATACATTCACAGAAGACAAATTGACAATGCCTTATGTTAACATTCACATGCTTTTCCCACAAAAAAGATATATAGAAAATTACCAACTCATTGTCAATACTGTGGCAATACCCTTAATTCTGATTTTATTTATCAAAGGAATAATACCATACATATACCCTTCATTGGAAGAATTCAAAATAGCTTTAGTGGCTGAAATCAAGATACAACTGATCAATTCCAGGACCTTAAGCTTTTAAGAATGGAAGTGATCCAGTTTCAACCTAACATGAAATAACTGCACATGTGTCTTTTTGCTATCATAAAGAAAAAAAACCCTGATGTCCTATTTCAATTCAAGGTGACAATGACCTTCTGAATAAGAGACCAAAGGGCCTCAACAGTCAATCATCTGAGTTGGTGATAGCTGTCATTTTGGTTGTTGTCACAGATGTTATAGAAATAATCTTGTTCAACTTTAGTAAAATGTAAATAGTAAAATGAGGAAATGTGAGACCCTGGGGTCATGAAATTCACAATTCTGGTCAAGCATTGAAAGACCCTTTTATCCACAAGGAGAACTTGATCCTAACATGTCTGAGTCTTTAATGAGCAGACGATTTTTGAAATCGGAGTCAATTGAATCCTTTTTGCAACCTAATTTCCCTGTGTCAACCAGATATTTAGACTGTCCTGAGTGACTTACCTGTGTGACCCATAGCATTATCAAATAACCTGTGTTAATCATTCTAGATGACTGGCATAAGAACACCTCTAGATTTACAGATATTAAATCCAAATCACTCGGACATCAGTACTCTCGTTTGACTCTTGTTGTCTGTACACCTACACATACATGATCTGATTAAGTGAGACAATGAGATTACACAAGACATGGTGTAATGGAGCGGTTTGGAGGGGAGGGAGCAGAGACTTTTCTTGCATAAAAGATAGGTTGGAGAGTTCCATCTGTGGAATTATATAATTTATTTAGAAGATTTAGATAATCCCATCCTAAGCAATTGCTAAAAAAGACAGCTGAATTTGGCAACCCAAAAGAGGCAAGATATTTTCAAGTTCAGGTAAAAAATATATTTGAAATCAAAATTTATCTAGTCCATGGATGCCTTTATCACACTAGATAAAGATGTATGAAACTGTGCATCAATAAATACTTTATCAAATTGTTGCTAACGATGTTCTTGTGAGAAATCAGCAATCAATGTACCTTTATACCCTAATCACTGAATCAAGACAAAGACATCACCTCATCACTGAATCTAGACAAAGACATCACCTCATCACTGAATCTAGACAAAGACATCACCTCGTCACTGAATCCAGACAAAGACATCACCTCGTCACTGAATCTAGACAAAGACATCACCTCATCACTGAATCTAGACAAAGACATCACCTCATCACTGACTCTAGACAGAGACATCACCTCATCACTGAATCTAGACAAAGACATCACCTCATCACTGAATCTAGACAAAGACATCACCTCATCACTGAATCCAGACAAAGACATCACCTCGTCACTGAATCCAGACAAAGACATCACCTCGTCACTGAATCCAGACAAAGACATCACCTCGTCACTGAATCCAGACAGAGACATCACCTCGTCACTGAATCTAGACAGAGACATCACCTCATCACTGACTCTAGACAGAGACATCACCTCATCACTGAATCTAGACAGAGACATCACCTCATCACTGAATCTAGACAGAGACATCACCTCATCACTGACTCTAGACAGAGACATCACCTCATCACTGAATCTAGACAAAGACATCACCTCATCACTGAATCTAGACAAAGACATCACCTCGTCACTGACTCTAGACAAAGACATCACCTCATCACTGAATCTAGACAGAGACATCACCTCATCACTGAATCCAGACAAAGACATCACCTCATCACTGAATCTAGACAAAGACATCACCTCGTCACTGAATCCAGACAAAGACATCACCTCATCACTGAATCTAGACAAAGACATCACCTCATCACTGAATCTAGACAAAGACATCACCTCGTCACTGAATCCAGACAAAGACATCACCTCATCACTGAATCTAGACAGAGACATCACCTCATCACTGAATCCAGACAAAGACATCACCTCATCACTGACTCTAGACAGAGACATCACCTCATCACTGAATCTAGACAGAGACATCACCTCATCACTGACTCTAGACAAAGACATCACCTCATCACTGACTCTAGACAGAGACATCACCTCGTCACTGACTCTAGACAAAGACATCACCTCATCACTGAATCTAGACAAAGACATCACCTCGTCACTGACTCTAGACAAAGACATCACCTCATCACTGAATCCAGACAAAGACATCACCTCATCACTGAATCTAGACAAAGACATCACCTCATCACTGAATCCAGACAGAGACATCACCTCATCACTGAATCCAGACAAAGACATCACCTCATCACTGAATCTAGACAAAGACATCACCTCATCACTGAATCTAGACAAAGACATCACCTCATCACTGAATCCAGACAGAGACATCACCTCATCACTGAATCCAGACAAAGACATCACCTCATCACTGAATGTAGACAGAGACATCACCTCATCACTGAATCTAGACAAAGACATCACCTCATCACTGAATCCAGACAGAGACATCACCTCACCACTGACTCTAGACAGAGACATCACCTCATCACTGACTCTAGACAGAGACATCACCTCATCACTGAATCCAGACAAAGACATCACCTCATCACTGAATCTAGACAAAGACATCACCTCATCACTGAATCCAGACAGAGACATCACCTCACCACTGACTCTAGACAGAGACATCACCTCATCACTGACTCTAGACAGAGACATCACCTCGTCACTGAATCTAGACAGAGACATCACCTCATCACTGAATCTAGACAGAGACATCACCTCATCACTGAATCTAGACAGAGACATCACCTCATCACTGACTCTAGACAGAGACATCACCTCATCACTGAATCTAGACAGAGACATCACCTCATCACTGACTCTAGACAAAGACATCACCTCATCACTGAATCTAGACAGAGACATCACCTCATCACTGAATCTAGACAGAGACATCACCTCATCACTGAATCTAGACAAAGACATCACCTCATCACTGACTCTAGACAAAGACATCACCTCATCACTGACTCTAGACAAAGACATCACCTCATCACTGAATCTAGACAGAGACATCACCTCATCACTGACTCTAGACAGAGACATCACCTCATCACTGACTCTAGACAGAGACATCACCTCATCACTGACTCTAGACAGAGACATCACCTCATCACTGAATCTAGACAAAGACATCACCTCATCACTGACTCTAGACAGAGACATCACCTCATCACTGAATCTAGACAAAGACATCACCTCATCACTGACTCTAGACAGAGACATCACCTCATCACTGACTCTAGACAGAGACATCACCTCATCACTGACTCTAGACAGAGACATCACCTCATCACTGAATCTAGACAAAGACAGACTAGAAAACAAATGTGCTACTTTTGATAAGTTTCTTTCAATATATAGCTATAATAGTCTCAGGTTTCTCTAACTTCTTAAAAAAACATTACACAACACCACTATTTGTTAAGAGAAAGATACATATACTAGAAATTTAGGAAGGGATGCTTAGAGATTGTAACCAGACAGTGACAATAATGCCTGGGATAATTTAGTGTTACTAGTAGCCACAGATGCCAGTCACAACTAAAACAATTATGTAGAGGTATAATAAAGATGTAATGCATCAAGTATTGTTTATAATTACTTATATAAAGTGGTTGATTTATTTGTGTATATGTTTTAACAAATAACAAATATAGAAAAAGATGCTTGAAAGAGGTTGTTAAGCACATGACCTTTGTTTTGACAATTCCATCCTTGTTTAATAGCTGGACGTGACCCGATATTTCACCCTCAGAGGTTGGCTATACTGTTTGCGCATGGTAGGTTTCTGCATAATTTCATCAAAATTGGTTAAGGAGTTTTTAAGAATAAGTTGAAATTGTCAATTTTTGATGGACAAATGACACACAACAGCTGACAAAAGATGATCTGTAATGGATCACATGAGATTTTGTCTCAGGTAACCATGATCGGACACTGATAGAAACAGTTGTGCCTATGATGACCATGAAATTACTTTACTGATTTCATAAGTAATTTTACGATACTTCAGTTTTAGAATGAAAATGTTATATAGGAGCATTATAGTTTTCAGTATAAAGATGCTGAAGTTACAAACAAGTTAATAATTCCACACAATGACACATACACTGTACTGACACTATCAGAAAATTGAAATAAAACAACAGCAAGAAATTAAATATTACCATAAAAGATGAAACAACATCTAAATCTTCAGGCAGAAATTGACCTTGGTATGGCCCCAGCTTTAGTAGCAAATTGAGTATGACAGGGAAATTCCTTTCTATAATGTCCACTGATCATGTCCACTTAGCCTGATTTACATAATATGTTTTTGTGAAGACAAATCAATAAGCAAAGAATCTTGGAATAAGATTTTTCATCAGCAGAGAGGTTAATCCCCTTCATAGAGACTCTGTCAACAGTCACCAAAGGATCAATACATTCCTAAAATTCTCACAATATCTGTCCTATCAGCCCGTGGATCTCATAATTCCCATCCACTAAGACCTAGGTCCACATGATGTCCATCCACCCTAACCATGTTCCACCTGACTGTGTTCAACATAATGTTTGTCCATCCAAACCTTCAGCACACAATGCTTGCTCACTCACTCTGGCCCTGACCTGTATAATGTCTGTCCATTCAGACCTTGGTCACATAATGCCCACTCTAACTGTTTTCTACAGGTCTGTCCATTCAGACCTTAGCCATATAATGCCCACTCTAACTGTTTTCTACAGGTCTGTCCATTCAGACCTTGGTCACATAATGCCCACTCTAACTGTTTTCTACAGGTCTGTCCATTCAGACCTTAGCCATATAATGCCCACTCTAACTGTTTTCTACAGGTCTGTCCATTCAGACCTTGGCCATATCATGCCCACTCTAACTCTATTTCACAAGTCTGTCCATTCAGACCTTGGCCATATAACGCCCACTCTAACTGTATTCTACATGTCTGTCCATTCAGACCTTGGCCACATAATGCCCACTCACTCACACTAACAGTGTTCTGTATAACATCCATCCATTCACACCTTGGCCACATAATGCCCACTCACTCACTCTAACAGTGTTCTGTATAACATCCATCCATTCACACCTTGGCCACATAATGCCCAATCTCTGACTGTGTCCCTCATAATGTCTACATTTCCAATCAGACCTAGGATCTCCTAATGTCTGTCCACTCAGACATTTGCTATATATAGCCCATCCTCTCTCACCATGTCCCAAATAAATTATGTGACTTCCTACATCTCAATTAGTCCCAGCTGAGCTGACAAATTATTTGATGAGTATGTGACCTACAACACTACAGTTTGGCCAAGATGAGCTGACAGAAGATTTAAAGAGTGACCAGAACACCACATGGATCCAGGTGATCGGACAGTAGAAACGAAAGAGATGGGCAATTTTTTCAGTCGGTTTTAGTTACCATGGTAGCTAACAACCAGGAAATGGTGTTGTCAGTATCAAATTAACTTGGATTTCATGCCACAACAGGTCTACCAAGGACGTGTAAATCATATCAAGTATGGATGTTTCAGAGAAACTCTATGTTTGAATCCAAACATCCCATTTATTAGGATATTGTTTGCCATCAATGTGAAATGTGACATTTTTATCAGTCAAGCAAAAAGAGGTATATATCTTTATTTCATTAAGTTAATGAAATAATGGACTTCCAATCTAGCTTCATGATATGCTTACGTTTCAATCTGATTAGTGGTCATTCCAAGAAAAAAATATAATGACCTTGACCCCTGCAACAGAATCAATCTCAAGCACATGCTTTAATCTGATTCAATCATAACCAAGTGTTTACCGCTAAATCAATTCAATCACGCCGCAGGTCTAACTACAGGGTGTTATTGGTACCACAACTTCACCAGACACATAACATCTACATTTGAGGATAACGAACAGCAACAGAAAGCATTTTAAACCCAGACAGTTGAGACACGAAATTGCATTTTTCCAAATGAATTGACCAGTGTTTGATACATCAAACTGATCCCTGGTCCAATATCACTGTGTGACAATTTGCTGTACAGATTGACCCTAGGGCTGTATCTATTATACCCAGCATGAGAGAAACATGGATAGGCCCAAATTCACAAATAAATCAACCATGACCTTGCCATGTCTAACACACACAATATCCAATGTAGTTGTATTGACCAGCAGGGTTCACTTCATTTGACCGTTCCAAAGAGAATACATCGTTGGCTCAATTGCAGGGACTTCATTGTGGCCCAGTTCTTAAATGTATAACTGGAAATTCTAGTCGTGAAATTACGATATCCATCATCGACAGTTGCAGCACCGATAGTGCCAAAGAAATAAAATATCTGTTTTGATGGACAACCATTTATACTATAGTAATTAAAGATATATTCTGAAAGCAGGATATATCGCCAGTGAACAAATATATGCTAGCAGCCAAATAT